TAATTAATGATAGTTAATTCTGGATTAATTGGTTATATTTGTTTACATGATAAACTATATCGATTTTATGACAGAAGTAGCTCGATGGCATAGTGGATATTCGCCGCGGCCCACGAACATTGTTGTTAAGCAACTTGGCAAAGGGTCGGTCACGAGATGGGTGACCAATTATTATCTCGAGCTACTCCGTGCTTCGGAAAGCACGTTAAGCCGTTGGTCGTGGCTGCAATTGTAGTTGTTAATACCCTCCAATTCACATTGAGCCAGCGTGAAGGGTTGTGGCCCATCCTCCTTAACTATCCATAAGCCCCTGCAGTGGACGCGTAAAAGGGCTGACGATAATGATAAACGACGAGTTCTCGTCGCGTCTATTTTGTCGGATCAGTCAACAATACTTTAGCAAAATTTAAACTTTTTTTTAATTAAATAAATAGCACGCGTGACTAAGTAAATATATTGATATTTATTCATAAACCATTAAAAATACGTTTTGGGTAAACCTTATTTTAATCAAGATCAGTCTATCCCTAGCATTTTATTTTTACAATCTCATTTGCATTGAATTTTAAAAAAATCATAGTAGAAGCTCATCTGTTCACTTTGCATCGATGATCGATTACGTTTAAATTATTACAAGAACTGAATATTATTATTTATTTAAATGTAAAGATTTCTCGTTTTTTATTCTATATTAATTAAAGCAAGAGTGTTTAAACATATACAATCATCTATCATATACTAGGTCACTCTAAATGACGTAGTAATTTAATTAAATCAAATGTCAGAAATATTAAAATAAATAATTTTCAATTAATTTAGATTTTGGCTGTACTTCATTTAGTTTTTTTTTACTTTAAGATTTACCTCGTGTGTTCATAAGTTTTGAGGAAAACTTTTTACGGAAAAAATAAAATGTTACAGGCTGTTTTTTTTACCGATTTTGAATTTGGAATTTTAACTTTTAGTTTATTTGTATCGCAAATTCATTTGTTTATTTGTGGAAAATCATTTTTGTCTCGTGATGGAGGAAATGAAATAATTACGTGCAACTGTTATTTCGCTATTTAAAAAGTTACGACGCGAACGTTGTCCATTGCTGCTGAGGAGACGATGTCAGGAAGATACTCTTCACCGACGAGAAAATTTTTCGAAGAAAAGTTCAACCGAAAAACAATAAAGTGAACGCTTAAAGTAGCAAAGATATCCCAGCTTCTGCACGGAATGTCTCGCGCACTCATCATCCGGCTAGTGTGATGGTATGGTGGGAAGTTGCGTATGAATTTGTCACTTCGCTCCATTTCTGTTGACAAGAGTGACATTTTAGAGCTCGTGGTGAAACTCCTGTCTGATACGTTATTTCGCAATAAATATTGAGTTTTTCAGCAAGACTCAGTGCCATCCCATAAGGCAAAAAGCACCCAAGCTTGGTTGAGGGAGAATGTGCCAGATTTCATCGCGGCGGACGAGTGGCCCTCCTCCAGCCCTGACCTCGACCCGCTGGATTATTCTTTATGGACTGAATTAAAGCTTAGAGCCTGGTGAAAGGCCCACCCAAACTTGGAGTCACTGAAGCAAACCATTGTTCGAGAAGCAAAGGGAATTCCAGTAAAAAAAGATTCGTGTAGTCATTGATGCGCGGCCAAATCGTCTTAGGGCCTGTATTAAAACAAGGGCGGTAATTTTGAATAAAATATACATTTTATTTTTGATTATTATATATTTAATGGTTACTGAAAAATTTTGAAATATGAGTCAATTGATAAAAAAGTTAGGCTACTTTTATTTCGTCTCAAAACTTATGAACACACGAGGTAAATATACACAATAAATTAAATTGTCATGATTTAAGATTGTAAAAGAAGCTGTTAATATTTTTTGTAGCACGTACTTATTTATTTTAGCTACATTACACAGCACTTGTGGATATGCAATCTCCTAAGACAGATAATAATTGTAAATACATTTGTGTAAGATGCATTACGAATATACCTCTGTGCGTGCATTAGCAGCTTTTAACACCAAACTTAAATAAAATTAACATAATACACTACACTTGCAAAATCATGATAGTGTTTATGAATTGTTTATATTATCTTATTTATTTAATTATGTATATAAAGTCAAGAAAAAAATAGTCATTCATTTTATTTAACCGAGAAGAACGAGTTGCCGCAGAGGTTAGTGACCTCAGTTAGCGATTTTCAAAAAGTCCAAACTTATCGATGATGAGTTATCTAAATTAATGTCATAACTCCTAGTAGAGCTGATGAGTTTCTTGCTCGTTCTTCTTATCAGCCAAAAGATGTCCTGAACGAGTGCTAGGGAAAAAATGTTGGACGATCTAAAAGTACTTTTAAGAAATCTATTTGAATAAAGTTTATTTCGACTTTGACTTTATTAAATTGAGCATTTTCGGGCTAAATAATAGACTAAAAATCTTTGGGTCTTAATTATATGGTCAGAGTTTGGTTTTAAATAGTCATCTAGCTTAATGAAAATGTCCTTCTTACAAGTAAGCTTATTGCAAAATCACTTGTTCCTCACAAGAAATAATATGAAACTTGAAACTTACCAAATTAAACTTGAAAACAAATTATAATACACTATAAAATAACATAAATCTGATGCCTTTTAGCATCTTCTAGAATTCTGTTTTTTTTTAAACATCAAATATTACTTGAAAAGGCATCAATAAGAGGATCCTATTTAAGCCGGGAATCTAGCGTCAAATACACCTTATAGTTGCCATAATGAGTAACTAATTGATTAAGCGAGAAGATAAAAGTACGAGTTGTTTATTACTGTTAACGGTCCGATTAAAACTAACAGGCATTAGAAGAGTGTTGTGGCATAACAATTTGCGTCAATGGATTCGGTAAAAGCACTCGGTCGATGTTTAGGCAACTGTTTTAAATGTGCGAATGATTATAATGATTCCCAAACTGCAATAAGGTAGGTAAGGTAAGGTGGCACTCACGGACGTTCATCATCATCAGCCCATACATCGCCCACAGATCTCAAGGACCAAAGACTGGTCCTGAGCTGTGCGCAAGAGTTAGAAATCCACGGAAGTTAACGTAATAATAATATTATGGATTATCAGAAATATTCTCTGCTTCTAATGTTTCATTTAGTATACTAAATGGTTATGATATAGACTTTTAGTATCAATAACTTATATTTTTTAGATATATTGATAATAAAGGTTGTCTCAGTAAGAGTGCACCTGTTAAATTTAGAACTATTTTTTTCTGTGTTCATGTGTTCATTCATACTGACTATTAAAAATGTGGCGCTTTTGAAAAGCCTTATAATTGTGAAAACTCGTTACAAAAATGGGAAAAGTCATTGGCAAGGTGGCCAATCGACATCACGAAATCCTGATGTCGATTGACCACCAATATCCTCGATTTAATGCCGTATGATTTTTTCTTCACGGTTTTGTGATATGTCGTGTTTATGCAAATAAACCATAAATAATTCCTGAGCTTAAATCAGAGATCCACCTCAGCATTGGTGAGATACATCTAGATCTCTGTGTAAAAGTCATGGAAAATTTCATGAAAAGAGCAATGGTCTGTCATCAGAGCACTGGAGGGCATTCGCTGGATATTTTATTCCATATTTAATCTGAACTTGTCTTATATAAAATCCTATAATAATATGACTCTCATATAAAATACGTGATTTTGAAAATTCTAAATTCTTGTAAACACAAATTAAAGTATTTTAACCTTAAACAGCATTTTATTTGGTGATGTGTGACCGCAAAACATGTCGACCTCTCCCGTACGTTCTTACTTCGAAAGATTGTTTTTTCAGTTGTTATTTTAATCTCCATAAACTCGTATAGGTCTTCTGGCGGGCATGTTACTTATGTTACTATGGAGGTGCAATTTTTTACATCTGTCATTATATATTTGTAGCAATTAATGAAAATCGATCCAACGTTATCATATTATGGCTATGTATACTAAATATTAAGTCAAAGGTTTACATATTAGACTTAGTCGTAACGGCAAAAATATTTTTTTATATCTCCCAGAAAATCTTAATCAGTCTTCAATATACTTGTACCTAGTTATGAGTTTTATAATTTCTTTTATAACTAGATGTTAAGATGTAAGAAGACAAAGTCTTGGTTATTATTTAATAATAACTCGTATAATTTAAATTGGTCTCATTCTACTAATATTGGAAAGGTAAAAAATGACATTTGAATTTTACCAAATAGTGTCCGCCGTATGAGTAGGTGTATATAAGAGTGTGCGAATTTGAGTAACATCACAGTCGGCATAGATCCTTCAACACTAACAGCAAAAATGAATTCTGTAAGTGGTTTGACGAGGTTTGATAATGTTTATTGTACAAACATACGATTTTACGATTCACTGTAGTAATAATTGGATTACATCAATAATTATTCTCTTATTTTTTGTTGATATTTGGTTATGAGTGGAAGTCTATCACTATTTGAAGTGACAGGTCACAGAGGTCAGTGTGTAATTTCATTAGAATACATTGTCACATGTAGCTTGATTTGTGATTTCAATTCACTCTGAAACTTTAATAAAGTTTCATAAGATCAACTCTCTGTATAGTAGTTTATTTAGTAGATAACATTTGCAAGGGCTAATTGTTTCATTTTTTTATAAGCCATTTATAAATAAATTGTTGTTATAATACTAGTTAAGTATTGTATTCATCAAAAACTTTTCCTCTATACAATATATAACAAATATTTTCAATGAAAATCAAGATACGGGACTGTAAATTTCACTATTTTCTTATAATCTTCCATTCGATTATTATTAACTTTTGTTTATGTTATTGTATTCGTTATAAGGGATAAATTATATTGTAAAACAGCTGTTTTGATAATAAAAAAAAGTTCTATGAGTGTGAAGTTACGTGTACATTAATAAACGAGATTATATTTTCTTAATTATAAGGTGAGAGCAAGTTTTCAGTGGCACATATATATATGTATCATAATTTGTATGTTTCCCTTACAGTTCATAGTTCTCGCCTGCCTGGTCGCCGCGGCGCTCGCCGTTCCCGTGGACCCGAAGGATGCCACCATCGTCAGATACGACTCGGACAACATCGGTGTTGACGGATACAAATACGAGTGAGTCATAGTTTATCGCAATCGTGTGTGTACTGTACATAGTGTAGTGTGTGCTCTCGACAATCATTCGATGCAATTGAATGAATTTTAGCAAAAAAGCCTAGTTTCATTGTATTTTTTAATTCAACGTTTCAATGTCTCGTTACGCACCACTTTCTATAATCAATATAAACTATAATCAATATTAATGACATTTTATTATTTATATTCTAATATATTGACATATTATTATGTTATGTATCGATTTTTCTTCAGTAACTTGCAGACATAATGTATTTTATTCTGTAATTTTGCAGATATATATTTTTATAGCAGCGCATATCTCTTAAATAAACAATATATAACTTTGTAACAATAGTTCCCTTATATTCTTAAAATAACACAAAACAATATATTTCAGCTTCCAAACCAGCGACGGAACGTCGGCCCAGGAGCAAGGACAGTTGAAGAACGTGGGCACAGAGAACGAGGCGATCGAGGTCCGCGGCCAGTTCTCGTACACCGGTCAGGACGGGCAGGTGTACACCGTCACCTATGTGGCCAACGAGAACGGCTTCCAGCCCCAGGGTGCCCATCTGCCCCAACCCTGAACATCCTCAACACTAGTCACACACTATACGACTGATTAGCTAATAATAAAATGTTTACAATTACATTATTGTTTTTCATTATGTTCAGAGACATTCTAATAGAACTCACACTAGAAATAGTTACATTATAAAAATCTTCATATAACTACTAAATAAATTTAATAATAGTAGCAGCAAAAATGACCTATTATTATGAGGTGGTTAAGCGAGAGGTAGTGATTGGAAACTATAATAATAGGTCATTTTATATACACTTTACTATCACTTCGATTCTGATAAAACAAAATAATAAATATCGGTCACTAATTCAATTTCTAATTAGGAAAAAAATCTCAATCGCGCTAACGCTATTTTCTTATTTCTAGTACTGAGGAATGAAGACTTTTCTGTTAGCTCGTACTATTATATTATTCATATAGTTAGAATAAAGTCTGTTAGTTATTAATTATTTTAAAATACTATGTCGTTTTAAATTTGGTATACTTTATAAGTAGTTATGTATAAAGCACGCATCGACCTCTGCCACGGTCCTCCACTTCACTCCCTTATTGGTGATGGTGTTGATCATAGTTTTTAAACTCTTAACCGACCTCACCGATTTATTGGTTCATTCTTTGTTATGCATAATGACATTATGAGAAATAATACTTTGCCAAAGGTCATGCCAAAAAAGTTTCTGTGACGGAGAGTTCGTGTCAAAAAATGTGTACAAGTATTTGATGGTTTATACTTAAATATGTGGAAGTACTCAGGATATACCCCAGTGCGGATATTGGATACTGGAACACCTGCTGGCGGCTGTAGGAATTAATTTTCTGGAGCACATTCAGCACACACACAGCTCTTGTAGACTGAGAGCTCATGTCAATAAATGTGCAAGAGCTTTCTAAAGATATAAGATTAGTATATTGATGTACTAAGGGTATACAACCCTTAGTAACCAGAGTAGAAGTCAGGCACTGGATCACTTGATGGTGACGGCGCTAAATAATTTTCTAGAGGTTGCTGCATATGATTGTTTCATTAATTGAATGTCTGAGTATTTTTTTATACACTAAAAACTAATAATTTAGTAATAAATGAACTTTCAACCATTACGATTAATTACGGAGCTCATATTCACACCAATTTCTGAGATCTGATGATTAGTCGCGTTTCAGGATTATGCTATCTGAGCAGTTTAGCATACTTTTTATATTGAAATATCAACTTAAAACGCAGCTGAATACTGAGTGATGTATACCCTAACACTTAAATATTCTGAAATATTAAACTTTAGAAAGCTCTTCTATAATTTTGTCACGACCTTTAAGACTATTGTGGTGAATATTCAATTTTTTGTCCTTTCAATGATTATGCTAAATAAATGTTATGCCTTCCAAGTAGTTGTCCAAAGGAATTTATGCCAAAAAAGTTACGGAATATCAAGGTTCTGTAAGACACTGTGAAGGAACCCTAATTTATCTTACACTTTGTTATCAACTAAACGTTTTAGTTTCCTTGGTTAATGAGACAACCGTACAGTTGTTGGAATTACTGAATCTTCTAAGGACATCAATAATATTCAAGAAGACATTGATCGTATGGTTGAATGGTGTCGTAGTAATCTTACGCAACTCTACACAAATAAATGCTGTCATGTTACATTTTGTCAAAAGGTCAGATCACAAAATAGTGCTTATGAAATTCAAGGAATCTCTATTGACAGAAGAAATTAAAGAGTAGTGTGTGGTTGATAAAAAGCTAACATTTGTATCGCATATGGAAAATGTCTCAAAAAGAGCATACTAAATGTTGGGATTCGTTTTGTGAAATACTAATGTGTTCAATGACATGAATTTTAAGATTTTATTATAAATTAGCGAAGTACAATCGAATATTGTAGTGTTCTCTGTAGAACGCATTACGCGACTCACTCGTTGAAATTTGAACGATAACACAAAAAGATTCGTGGCAAACTTAGCCTACAGACATGAGATCAATAAAAATCCAGACTTACGAAAAAAAGATTAAGGCACTTCAAAATCATATAGTTTAAAAACGGAGAGATATATAAGACTTATAATTTTGATTTCAAAAAATCCAGTCATTAAAATTATTGCCCTTCTTAACTTAAATTCCGACTGCGTCCAGTACGGTAAACCTCATACTCCAGATGCTCCACTTTTAAGATCTGTTTTGGAAGCTAAATCCCAATAATGTGCCCAAAATTTCATTAGACTATAAACAGTATAGCAGCTCTTACGCATCAAAAAGCAATCAGAGATTAAAATAGAGACATACATAAGCGAAGTAAATTTTAAGGCCCCTTTTTAGGGAATTTAAAGAGATATTAATAAGGTCTATATTTAAAAATTTCATCTTGTATTCGTTGATGGAATGATAAAAGAAAGAATTGTGAGTATATATTTTCTATAACGTGGTACAACGAACCGTGGTTAATACACGTGAGGAGCGCACAAGCAGACGTACCGAGAGTAAATAATTATAATATGACAAAATAAATGCTTTATTTATTTATTATTATTTATTTATAATGTCGAAGAGACTAATCATTTATAAATTACTTTTGGATCCTTTCTAGTCCAACAATGTGGATGTCGTTACAGTGATTCCAAATGGTAGCTTTGTCCTCGAAATTAAGATAACAAGTGTAGTAAAGCATCTGGGTGCTGCCATCCATCACTATAGTTCAAATCCATAAAGGAAAAAAAAAAAATATTGTCAGACAACATGCACTTCCTTCCGTTTACAGAACTATACTTCATTAGCGTTTTAGTGCTTCCGCCATCTTAAAGCGTTTTTTTTTTCGGAAAGAGTTAAATTTGAATTGAATTTAATTAAAATGACCAAGAGAAGTTCAGAAGACTTTGAGAAATATATGATGAGAAAGATGAAGAAATTAGAAGAAAAGTTTAAAAAGAAATTGGCGAAAAGATCGCGTAGAAATGGTATGTACCTACTTGAGTCAGAAATAAGTTGTCGAAAAACTTAGTAAGTCTGGTGTACACCTAGATGGGGTGTTTCCGAAGACAATTGTGATCGATTGTGTATAGTTTATAAGGACTATTACCTTTCTATATTACAAGCAAGCTTTATTGTAAATACTTACCTACAGTGTATAATTTTTTACGCATAACCGTTTGTTGTGTACAGTTCAAAGGGGACTGTTACCATATAATATTACTTACAGATTTTAATAACTTTCATAATCGATGACAAATAAATTGTATAATGATTGTGTGCAGTTTATAGGGACTGTTACCTACCCATGTCATTTATGAAGTACTTCAGGTGTTTATGGTAATAATGGGTAAGTTTATAATATAAATATACCTCTATTACAGATGAAAACTATTGTAATAGTGAAGAATCATGTGAGATCATGTCTTTACATGATGAGAATACACTAGAAATGTCTGTTTGTGAACCTCCGGAGCAGACTGTTGATCCAGACATGGTAATTAATGAATCAATTGATCCAGCTATTATTGAGCCACCTATTCCCGAAGAAAACTTACCAGTAGAAATACTGGAGATTCTCGGTGAATGTCCATCTTTAGAGAAGATATATGGAAAAGACCTGCATTCAGATATAGCAGTACGCTGGGAGTACATAGCTACATCAGGCTTAACAAAGGATCAACGGAAATTGAATTTGGAAAAATATCAAATACCACAAAACACAACGAAGATTGGAGCTCCTGTTTTAAATGCAGAAATAAAAGCTGCCTTATCCGACATACTTACAAAAAAAGATAAAGCCATAGAATATAAACAGCGACAAATAGCTATGATTATATCCTACATAGGTGAAGCCCTTACATCCTTGTTAAGCAGCAAAGATTCAAATTTGCCATTAATAAAATTATTAACAGAGGCTGGAAAATTGGCATGTGACCTACAACACACAGAATCAAGGATCCGAAGAGGTTTTATTTGCTCTTCAATAAAAAAAGAGATAAGAGACCAATTGTATGAAACAAAAATAGATAATTACCTATTTGGAGAACAATTAGCTGAAACCTTGAAGGCGGCAAAGGCCATAAACAAATCAGGTTCAGAACTAAAAAATCAACCAGTATTGTCACTTAAAAGCAACCAAGCTTTAAACTCGAAGCCTCGACCCCCACCATCAGGCAGGCACATGGGAGTTACGAGGCGCCAGACATACAACGCCTCCACGACAATGACGCGTACGAACTCACGCCAAGCTCCATACCGTCCTCCACCGCCACCACCGCCACGGCAACGGGGGTATTTGCAGCGCTCACGAATGCAGACACAGCACCGCAAGTGATACCGGTGAGTCATGCTGGAAGAATTTCCTTTTATCTTGACAGATGGCATCTTGTCACAAAAGATCCAGTTCTTTTATCATGGATAAAAGGGTATAAGTTACCATTTTGTAATTCTGTGTATCAAAGTCACATTCCACCATTACAACGATTTAGTGGTTCTGATTCTTCACAATATCTTAATGCTATTAAAAAATTATTAGAGAAAGGTGCCATATCACCCTGTGACAGTTGTGAAAATCAGTTTATATCCAGTACCTTTCTTATACCCAAATCGGATGGAACCAAAAGGTTTATATTAAATTTAAAACCTTTGAACAAATTTATTAAAACAAATCATTTTAAAATAGAGGATTTGAGAACCACCTTAAAATTGGTAACTAAAGATTGTTACATAGCTACAATTGATTTAAAAGATGCATATTTTTTAATCAAGGTTCATCAGGATTACAAAAAATTTCTTCGGTTTCAAATACCATCAGATTTATATCCACAATGTAGTTCAACAATTTTTGAATTTAATGTTATTCCCTTTGGTTTAAATACTGCTCCGTATGTGTTTACCAAATTACTTAAACCTGTTATGTCCTTACTAAGATCATTAGGTTATTTTTCTACTATATATTTGGACGATATCTGTTGTATTGGAAGATCTTATAAAGAATGCCTTGATAATGTTTTGAAAACTAAACAAGTTCTGGA